GAGCTCTGCCCGGAGTGCACGGAAAGGGGGTTTCTGGCGTGTGATGTGGCACGGACGGGCTGCGTGAGCCCCCAATTCAGCAAGAGCCACTCACCAGGTCTCCAGGATCTCCAGGCGGCCCCGGGGGCCCCATCGGACCCTGGGGTCCAGTCGAACCCTGAAACAAAAAAAAATAACAAGAAAAGAAATCAGCAAACAGGGTGAAAACACTTCAGAACAACTCTCACGCAGGTCTGCATCATCCAAGCACTGCGCTGTGACATCACATCCTTTTCCTCTGCCACTTACACGTGATGGGCAGATTCACATTGATTACAATACAGAGGACAAAAAAAATAGTCGAAACTTAAGAGGCTTAAGAAACTTAAGACCGGAGGCAGGATAATTACATTTAAATTTCATTCTGAAATTCCCCTCTTATTCTTCCTAAGTTTATTAAATCACATAAAGTCGCACTACACCTAATATGATGATTCCTGCTCTTTCTTCCCATTTCTTCCAGATTCTGATCAAACATTTCCAGTTCACAGAAAAAAACAATCAAATCCTCGATTTGATAATAACATGTTAAAGGCATTTTGTCCCATTTAATGAACATGCTGGGCAAGTACTGTATGTGCCATTTGCATGCATTGTTTGTGTTCCAAAGGTCCTCACTGCTTCAGTGGATTCTCAGGCTCGACCACACCATTGTCTTTGAATGGTTAATCTAGGTTCCTATTTCCCTCACTGCCAATCCACCACTCTCCCGACAGCCTGCTGTTTACATTCTCCAGACAAGCTCCCATCAGCTCCGTCACTCCAGCAGGCTTCCTCTTTTCCCCGTACCAGTTGAAAGTAACACCCCCACTGCACTTATACTGTATGTATCTCTTCTCACATCTGGCTTGAATGATAACTTTCGCATGTGGGATGACTGAATCTGTCAGAAGCACTACCAGCCTCAGACCCAAAGCAAAACCTAGAAAAAAAAGCAGCTTTCAGCAGGATGTGCTCCAGTGTGTCTCCAGTACATGATGACGGCGACTGATCTTTCCTCCTGCTGTTGGGTTAAGCAAAGGAAGGCTGCAAACTTTTTCATGCGGGGGACACGATGAACACGCTCTGAACACCTACGCCCTGTTTTCAGGTTGGGAGTTTTCTGGATGTTGGGAAACACAGACTGGTTTCTAAATCAAAGCTCTGACTTGTTAAGTTTTCTGCCACGACTTTAAGAGCTTAAAAAAAACACGTCCCATTCGCGCTACAGCTGTTTTGAAGTCTGCCCTACTCAGAAAGGAAAGCACATGTGGGTCCTGTGATTGTGGCCGCGATGGTTTTACTTTTGTCATTTAAATTGTTGTGTTTTAATACCGACGCGAGCCGACAGTGAAACAGCCCTTGCAACACGTGGCTGAAAACAAGACTAGGAAAGCTGGGGCCCAACTGCAGACTGCCATGAGTACAGACTCTGTGGTTACTGATACGGCAAGGTAGATTTCAATGTATCTAGCTGTGTGCAGGGCCGAAGGGTCGTGTGTGGCTCGGCTGCTCACACTCACCTGTGGTCCAGGTGGGCCTAAAGGCCCCTCCATCAGCATCCCCTGCAGAGCAGACACACAAATGAGACGAGAAATCAAGACAGGACACACAAAGTTCCAACAGCCAACCTCGATGTGAATTAACAGATCTTTCCTTTCTTTTCCCTAGGATCTCAAAACTTAGCGGATCCTTTGAAGCAGTCCTGTGACACAAACTGACCACATCCCCCAGTCCATTGAAGCAGCAGAGTATTTTAAGTGAAAGAAACTCAGATGCAAAACCTGGATCGTTAGCAGCAATGGTGCTTAACGGAACTCCTAATGGAACTAATAAGCTGTTTGTATGAAACCTTTTCCAGATTTTCATCTACTCAAGAGTTGGAGACATTACTTATAGACTGTAACCATTGAAAGGAAACTCCTTCAATAGCTAAAAACGGAGAGAGCTAAAATTGATCAAGATCTGATTACATAACAGAGAGCTCAGCATGAACAAAATCCAACGGGTGTAGGGGTCAACCAAGGACCAGAACTGGAATCCCCTGGTCTGGAGGACAAAGAATCCATACTGGACTGTGATACTGGCAGACTGAGGCAGGCATGGTTAGACAAGTGGGGTGGGCAGCAGGAATTCTTCCTTGCCTCACACTAGAGAAGCTGCGTAGCAGTCAGAGCCACTTGTTCCCAAACTGGCATTTGATCTGAGCTGCCAAAGTGGAGAACCGCTCCCAGCAGCTGTCCACCTGAGAGTTCAAGAACCTGGGATCTTATTAATACGATTCCACTCGTTACTGGTTTAATTGGACAAACTTCTACCTGGTTCTAGTTGTCAGAGGCGTAAACAGACCTGTTAAATCTGCCGTTTGATTAAGAGTTTTCAACACTCATGATAATCAGCTCATCTTTACAACAGAAGCATGCCTACAATAAAATGTTAGCCCTCAAGCCAATATGGTTTCAGCTTTCTATTACACACATTTCACAAGAGAGCATTTGAAGCTGGAGATGAGCTACTTTGACAATAATCCTTTCCCCAGGAGACTAAAGAAGAACTGCTGAAAGGTAAAGGGAGAGTTTACCGGCTCGATGATGGCTGGTTCGCCTTTCTCCCCCTTCTCTGGCCTCCGCAGCCGATCCTGGAGGAGAAGAACATGCAGGTCAGGCAGTCAATACCTATGTCTTTAATCTTGGACCAAAGTGATGATCCATGTACTCTTCATAGCAGATGTAATAAGACAGTCATCTACTCTCTATATATAGCTTTACTAGCCCCAAAGAGGCCACAGATGGGCTGCAGCAGCCCTGTAGAGATCCCCACCTCCACCTCCCTGGTCTCCGCTCCCTCTCGCTCCACCAGGCCGTAGCGGTCTTCATATTCGTCGTAGTCCTCATACTCCACCACCTCGTACTCCCCCTCCTTGGTCCGCCCGTCCTCATACTCCACCGTCTGCACAGAAACAGAAGAGGCCGTCCTTTGAGCCCGGGGTCACAGCGGGCCCAGAGCGGTCCGATTCACTGGCACGCAGAGGGAGAGAAGCCCCAACAAACCTCACTGCCAGCAGCCAATAAGCTGGTCTCAGGAGAAAGAACTCAGCAATGAAGCTGCATGGACTATTGACAGGGTTCACTCTACTGGGACGTGTTAAGCTTCATTTAATAGAAAAGCAGCTTCCTATTCATTCACAGGCTCAGCTCTTTGAAAGAACTGGAGATACTTAACTTCCTTCCTTTATTGTCCCAGATGGGAGACTTGCATTGCAGTCAGGTACATGACATAACACATTCAACACACAAAACATAATTCTTTCAACACAACACGAACCTGTTCACAAACAAGAAACATCATCTGCGTGAGATGAGAAAAAAGAGTTAGCAGCTGAAGTGATCTTGACAATTTAGAAAAACAAAACAAACTGGGTCTTGAGTGTGAGAGATGGATACACAAGATACATGCATGAAGAATTAATACATAACAAATGAAATATACAATCAGTTGTCCGAATTGCACAGGTTAATAGCCAATACAGACCTGGATGTCAGCAAACACTATGGTACTTCTGGAATGCAGGCTGGCCATTTTCCTTCTTAAACAAATCTTGTTGGGCTAACTTTACGGAATTGGGCCAGAAATTCCAGCAGTAACGATTTTTCATCGAGTTGAACTGAACAGACTGAGAAAGGCCTGCCGCCAGCCTTAACCTTTTGGTTTTTAACCCGGGACGCAGCCTGTAATCCAATGGATCCTAGCTCCACTCGTGCAGGGATACACACCACCAGAGAAACACACCACACAGGAGGAAGAAGAGGAGGAGGCTCACCTCGTACTCCGTGACGTTGGGACCCACGGTGACCGTGGAGACGGGGATGTCCTCGTAAAGCTCGTTGTAGTAGTCTTCACTGAACTCTTCCACCTCGGGCTCCTTAGGAGGCTTCTCCACCTGAACACAAGCACTGAGCATCAGCGTGGCACCAGCATGGGTGTGATGGGACCAGGAAACAGAGGGCAACATTCTTCCCTACTGTAAGGTGGCCTTCAGGCAGGCATCACCTGAGCTGACCTCCAAGCACTTCACTCTGTGCATCACTTAGCATAGAGAGGACAGGCCAAAAGGTACACAGAACTCCCCCTGATCTTAAGAGCTTTGCATACTCTGCTGTCGATCAGAAATAATAAACCCTTCAAGAAGTTCATCAATAGGAGACAACTGGCACCATCTTGTTTGTATCTTCAAATAGGGACCTGCTTCAGTTCTGAGGAGTTAAAAAAATCAGACTTTACCATAAGGTTACGAAAATGTTGCCTGGTGTTTCACTGTTCACTCTTTTTTGGAATCGGTTGTGATAAATTTCTACTTCTAATGGTGTTAGACATTAAGACAGGTTGTGCGGTATTATACTGTAAGTTGCTGAAATTAGTTATTATGAGAAAGGGGAAATGGAATTTGGACAAGCGGGACAATATATATTATGTCATCTCACGATGAGCTTTCCGCTTCAAGAAACCGAGTAGAGAAAACATATTGAAAATCAGTTTTACTCAAGTAATCTTTTCAGGGTTCCTTAAAGAAAATCTGGGCACCGCACTGCAACTGTGACAGCGCATACTTTTTCAATCCCAGATCCAGCCACTCAGTGTAATGCCAAATTATTTTTCTATTTTCTTCTATAACCCTATGTTGGGATATTTTGCCTCTGCAAATATGGCAAATCGCACAGACCGGCTTATTTCATTATCCAAGGACAATCACAGAAGCACTACGGGCACCTGGGGCTGCAGATACTGCAAGTGACAGAATGGGATTGCTGAAATGTTGTCAATTAAGAAACAAGTCCCTCTCGCCACATATGGAATGGGACTAAAGATGGTTTTACTGGTGATAATGCACAGAAACTTGGCTTTCTGGTTCTCACGGTGCACATGAGGCATTCTATTTGAACCATTTTGCTGTGTGCACATCTTCTTTTTGCCTCTTCCCTACAGCACATAAGCTAAGGGTGAAGTAAAAACAGGCTCTGTTCTTCAACGGGCAAAGATTTCCACTTTAAAATCCATCTTAAACTCGAATTTTCACAAACCAAAGCTAAAGACAGAATTTAAAACAAAAACAAGTAACTTCTGTCTTTGCTTCAAAACATTATAAATCCTTTAGTTTTGTTGCAACAATAGTACTTTTGGCCTTTTAAAACATGACAAATATAAGCCAAAAATATGGTACTGATGCAACATGTTGCAGGGAATATTTTTAACATGCCTGTATTGTACATACACACACAAACCTATCACAGGACAACGCAGTTTAACACTACTCAAAACACACAGAAAACACTCCAAATATATACACATGTACTGTATTTATGTATAAATAAATATGTCACGTGTATATATATATATTAATTCTAGGAATGAATATTAAGGAACTCTGGCCATTTTATGAAAGGCCACAAAAACAATAAAATTAACTTTTGCATAAATGAAGTCAAAGTTAGCAGCCATGAACAACATATATGGGCTCATCAACTCAGCACAGTTAACTTTGACTGGTGCAACAGGCACATATATGTATCCAATAGGGATATATATATATTTATATATGTTATAAACCATACATATCGTATTGCTGTAAGGATCACACAGGGTTCTAAACCTCTAATTAGAGTGGGGTGATGTCACTGTCAATCCACTGTAACAGTGACACCTGTAGGAAGGGTAGGGAAAGGCAGCTCTCAGGAGGGTTTTTTGGTCAATCATGACTGGATTAGAGGTAAAGGGCTGGGAGGGGTTCTAGGGTTAGGAAGCATTACAGGGAGTCTACAGCAGTACGAGCTAGCAGGGAGGTCTAGGTTAGAGCTACGCCATCAATGTCCGTTGTCTTTACTTCTACCTCTTCCCTAGCCACCAGGGACTCAGGCAGTTGAGTGGCCACCACCTGGGCCTCGGATGTAGATTCAGGCAGTGAAGAGACTTCCACAGAGGCCTCTATAGCAGATTCAGGCAGCAGAGTTGGCAGCACAGGGAACTCCTGTGAAAGCTCAGGCAGTGCAGGTGTGGCTACCAAAATGGGGGTTTGCTCAGTCTTTGGTAAGACAGTGGTTTTCTCGGGGCCCTCATCCAAAAGTTCAGGCAGAGCAGTGGTCAGCAAGAGAGCCTCTTCCACAGGACTCGGAGACTCTTTCCTCTTCTTTCTGGATTCTTTCCTGCCCTTTTTCTTGGAAGACTTGTTCCTCTTCTTTTTGGATTTGTCCTTCTTGTTTTCTCGGCCTCCTTTCTTGTGCTTTCCCTCCGGCTCGTCGCCGAGGGGGGTGTCTGCCCCTTTCTGTGCGGGGGGCAGGTGCGGTTTGGGGGCCTGGGGTAGGGGGTGGGAGTGGGAGTGGGAGTGGATTGTGAAGTTGGGACGGGGCGTGAATGAAAAACATAAACAGACCAGTAAAACACAAACTTTAAACAGGATGAAAGTAAAAAAATAGGAAGGGACACTATTGTTTATTCATATAAACATTATTCACACTAGGATAGCTGTCCTTCACACACGCACACAAAAGACAGCAATATAAAAGACAAGGTGAAATGAGAACAAGGCGTTCAGCCCATCAATGCCCAATCATTTTACTACGTGCAAGTGATTCTATCACACCATCAGTCTGACATTACGGAGAATTCATAAAAAATTTCCAGAGGAATTCTGTAGGACACCTGAAGATAATCTATAAGATTTTCACCCCAGAATACCACCAGAAATATATATCCCATTTCCTATCTGTTGAATGTGTTGGTAAAGCCCAGAAACAGAAGACAGGAAGAGTGATCAACAACCATCAGAGCCCTGCCATGTGCTGCTGTTACTGGGCTGTTCACTACATCAGCACAATCAGTGACAGGATCTATTACTAGATGTCTTCTCTTGAGGTCCCTAACTTGGATTTTTGAAATAATGAAGAACAGTAGCAGCAGCGCCTTTTGTGGGGTATTTAAACCCCCGATAAATAGAGCACAAAAAGAAAACATCTAATAAAACTAACTGAAATCTGACATTAAGAAGAGCACTAAGATTAAATCTAAAAAAAAGCAAAAATATAAGCTACAATATATACAGCTGTGTGCTCGTCAGAGCTGCAGACATCCAAGTTTCTCTCCATCATATTCGCAGGGTTCAATGCAAATACGAAGGACAGAAACTTGGACCCATCTCATTCAATGCCTCCCACACTTCCTCAACCCATCCCAGCTCATTCCGAGCAGGAAGAGGGACAGAGAGTCAGATGGCTCCACAGAGACAGCCCTGCCATTGTTCGGTGTCTGACATGGCTAGAACACATCCCAGCTGTGCCCACACGACAGAACCTCAGCATGGTTTTCATATAATGCTTTGGTACAATTTGATGTTCTCCAGTCCCCTGTCATTTTAACCTCCCTGTCACTTGATATGGTCCACAATAAGAAACCAATTAAGATGTTTTTTTAAATAAAATTGTCATTCAAATCTTGCCTGCCTAGATGGTATGAAGGCTACTTTTTGTCACAGATACCACCTGCAACACAGACTAGCAGAATCTATATCTACAAGATCTGCATCTGCGCCCAGATTGTCTAGATTCCAAGTGTTAATCTTAACCCACAATCTTTGGCAGACACATCCATTATGTTTATGAACATTGACAAACACTGTTCTTGTCTTTGCATGCTGTAGGTAGGAAGCTGGGAGAAAATAATGAGTTATCTAGATTTATAGCCTAGGCTATCCCTGTGCTTTGCAGATATTAATTTCATTATGGTTGTGTTTATGGTTTTTGGCCTTAAACATATCATTGCTCGAGTTTGCATAGCAATAAAAATTTGGAGAACAAGGCTTGATCCCCATTTTGGCAAGCACAGCTGATCAAAAACCTGATACGCATATTTTCTCTACCTTCTTTTTCTTGGCTATGCATGACTGCTTCTGGGAATGTAGCTGCCTGTCTCATCTAATTCCAGAGCAGCCCAGGGGAATATGGACAAGGAAGACGGAGCAGCTCCGACTTGGCTATGAAGCCACCAAGAGCACAGTGTGTGTGAAAATGACAAAAGACTGATGTCTCAGATTAGCTCCTTAAAAGCAAGGCATATATAATACTGTATGCATATCACACTTGCACAGTATGTCCTGCTTGACATGTGGGTGCCAGACTTATAGCCAGTCCACACATTTCAATGTGACGGGGATTTGCAACGCGGAGATAAAAAATGTCGTAAGTGAGAGGGGTACTGGGAAATATGTGTGTGTGGGGAGGGGGTCTTCTGCACCCCGTTTGTTCAATGCCAGAGCTCTGCACTGAAGCAGCACAGGCCACATCATGCTTCCCCTCTCAGTGTTGGTCGAACAGCGGGCGACTGCTGCAGGTCCAAAAAGGACTGAAACACAGTCTAAGAAACTAGCAGCAGGGGGAGAAGGTGGGAAGGTGGGAGACAGGCAGTGCCCGGGCCAAGGATAATTAATCTGAGACCCCCTTCCCCTGGGCACGGCTCTCGAGTGTGGAACAGCCCCCTCTGAGGAGGCAGCCAGCCTGCTCTCCAACCAGGGAGCCAACTCTCAATGTCAGCTCCCCTCCCAGCAGTGGCGTCTCCAGGATTTTATATTTGGGCTGGCAGAAGGGTGGCAGTTTTTAATGATACCGTAGTATTTGCCTTGTAAAACAGCATGCACTACTAAAAGGTGTACTACTATTCTTCCGTGCACCAGTTACGCTGGTAAAGGGTAACTGGTAACTGGTCACACAGGGTAACTGGTCATACAGGGGGTATGACACCACGAGCGAGGCAGAAATGAGGCAAAAGCCAGAGCCAGAATCTTGCGCAACTTTCACTCAGCCGCATGGGAACAACCTACAAAGATCTGCCACATACTTGCCGACACAGATAGGCAACATCTGCACACTTCAAAAAACATTTAAGAAGCGTCATAATTGTTGCCTACGTTTACGTTTTCGAAATTGAAGACAACGATGGGATTTTAGGTAACGCCTAAAATGGGGTGGCAAAGCCATACTTAAGAGTGGCCATACTTAGCTGCTACCCCATGACACCCCGAAACACCCCGGGGTGTAGCCCCTATGTTCTCCGAAGGCTGTACCGGTGATCAGCAGCCGCACTGGGGAGACATGTACTCAGATAATCTACTGTAGATACTACTGTGGGTGTTAATGGGCACTTCCCTTACACACAAAACAGAAAAAAGTATTCTGCTGTCTCTGCCAGGGGTGTACAATAACCCAATGGAATGAAACACATTTATTATGAATCTACTGTATACTGCACATAAGTAAACGGTGATTGAAGCTTCAGAGCACATTGCTGCATTACAGTTCTAACAGGTCTTAAGAGCTTAATGAGTTCCCCGACTCATTAAGCTCTTAAGAAACCTGAGAAACCTTAGGATGACTCCTCCACTGGGGGGTTCACAAAGTTGACTGCACGTCTTCCTGGGAAAAATAAGAAGTTTGCAAACTTGCCTTTGAGCTCACTGGGGTTTTATACTGCGATTTCATGCTCAGTGCAGCATGCTCAGAAACACCCATTACTCCTGTCGAAAGTATGTTGCTGGCTGCATCCATACAGTAAGTCGTCCCTAAATCAGGACTAAAATTAACGGGCGATAGCAAAACCTTATACATGGCATTTAA